TATGTCATTCATTCCAGGTTTGGTCATAAAATTAAATTTTGTGACCAAACAAGTTTCAAGAGTGACTCTGGTATAAAAAGCCATTTATAGAATGAAAGGCTGCAGAAAAAAAGTTCCAGGTGTTGTGCAACAGATACCAATAAAAGGTGAGTTAATCATATTATAATGCAGCATTCCAGTGTTGTCCTGGACTGTTCTACTAATGTTCAGGGCCTCTTGTGTAAAGGTTACAATATGGCCCACATCAAAATTAAAATTGCCTTGATGAGGCCAGGTGCCAAACAGAATGCTACATGATAAAATAAATATCAACTTAGATATCCATGAGGCTCCACACCCAAATCTGAACCTGATAAATTTAACTAGTCAGTTTAAACACAAGGGACGAGAAAAAAAGTCCATCTTAAACTTATTTCTTGACTTGACTAACTAGCTGAATAAAAGAGGCATGGACTATAGCCAACCCCATTTCTTAAAATCAAAAGCTCTAAATAAGTAAAGGTCCTCTACTGTCTCTGGACAGAGAAACAGAGTAAGGTAGGAAAATACAGTAGTGTGGAAATCAAATGGTTCCTTGAAGCTGTACTGAACCAACTGACCATGAGAGAGAACAGAAAAACAACATTGTGCAGTTGTGTGGTTTCACAACTCATTAACAGAGAGTTCTCTCCCTCTCTTTAATAATTTTTAATTGATGAGGGATTAGTGTAAATCCTAACCAAGTTGTGTGCTTAAAGACCGAAGATGTCAAAGCGTAGTAAAGGCATTATAGCATCAACATCAACCCTCAGCTTTCAATGGCAGTATCATCTTAGCCCCACTTCAAGGGTGAGAGATGGTATTGGTGGGTGGGCTGATATTCAGATTAGCCCAAGACATCTTATTTTAAGGTTCACTGAGGTTGCTAACTGATAGAATTTGGCAGTCATATACTGTACATGAGTTGTTCTTGAAAGGTATTACAGCAGTGATATCTTCATTAGCCGAAACAATTGGTGTAGAGCACTTCCGGGAATGAGAGATTTCCGGGTAACGAGATGACTATCTCAAAGCAAGAAAAAATCCCTCATCCCCAGAATTTTCCGGGTACTGGGAAAATTTTCCCAGAATTTCCCCCAAAAATGTGCCCCTCAGAAAATCATTCCCAAAGCCAGAATTTTCCAGAAAATTCCAGCTTTGGAAACGATTTTCTGAGAAAATTTCAATTCCGGCCATCGGAGAGTTCCGGGTTTAAGGGATTCCGGCTAATGGAGATATTACTGTACTATGTTGTATGTAAAAGAAACTAAGATGAAATTCTCAACTCAACACCAGTTGCCTCAATCATCTGAAATTCATAAAAGCAATAATGCTACACCTCTGTAAAATATGTAAATCTCAATTATTGGTGCAAGCACTACGATAATGTTTTCATTTTTATCTTATTCTGAACATAATCTTCATTTAGTTGGGTGAGTAACTGATCAGCAGTAATTTACACTGATCCAACAGAGACCCCACTGAGAGGGGTGCTCTAGTGAGGGAATATTGAATGCCATTTACCAAATCATAAGTCATAAAATTAATGGGTATGGGAGCTGGTGATACTGGTACACTTGAGTTGAGGACACACAAAACAATACATTATTAGAAAGGTGCATCGTAATGTGATTTACTGCATTTGTTATTGTTCACAGCATAGGAGAGGATCAGGTAAAAGGCAGCTGACTTAATAATTATTCAACAAAGAAAGTTTGCACATGGAGTTATAATTTAATGAGAAGTCATTGAATGGAGATAAAATATAAAAAAAAAACATTACAAGAATGAAGATTAATATTGATGTTGTGCTGAAGGTGATGAGCAGCATAAGTGAGCATGCAACTTTCAAGATGTCTATTGGATTATGAGCCAGGCAACTACTGTACCAGTATTATGAAAACAGAGTAATCTATCAAAGTTCAGCTTTCAAAGGAAGAAAGATGAAGTCAGGCACAAAATGACAATAAAAATAAACTGATTTAAAATTATATAGAATTAGTTTAGACAAGGCTGCCACACACAAATCAGCACTGCAGCAACATATCACTATACTGTACAGGAAATCAGAAATGATAAGATAACGAAAAAATGTAATTGAAGTATGCATGTGAAGCTTCATTTGCCCCCAAAAAACTCTGCTAACCTCATGGTTTGTGTGGTGACTCTACATGGGCCTCTCATTAAAAAACTTGTTTTGGTAAAATTGATACTGACTCGTGCACACATGAATATTTCCCACTGTCAATATCTAAAATGTGAATAATGATTTCATAATACTGAAATGTAAAAAATAAAAATAAAAAACTCCTACTCCAATTCTCCTATCTTGTATTCAAACACATAATCAGCTCTTCCTGGGATTGGACGACAGTGAAATAGTTACCGGTAACTTTAGCTAATACAAAAAAAAATTAATTTAAGTGACTACATAATGCATATTGATAAAACTAAAACAATATCCTTTCTAACCTCTTAAGTATTCAGCAGCTCTCAGATGGACCTCATAGCTGATACAACCTTTTGCTTAAATGACTTTAAAACTATTGGCGGCTAATATCTAACACACCAAAATGCATCATCTCTAATAGTTCATAATGTACAGTACAGTACAGTACTCTTCTTATTTTTCAGCCTTTTCTATCTCAAGTGGTTGAGTGAATAAGTTGCAGCTTGTAGCCATAAATTAATGGTGATAAAGAAAAAAAAATATTAGACCCATGCAGAGTATTCTGCAAACATTTTACCACTGTACACCTCACATGCATTCAAACTTCTTTTGGAGCATCAAGGGAATGGCTTTGTAATAGACTTTTTGTGGAATTATGAATCTACAGAAAATTATGAATCTATGTAAAAATTATTACTACAGTTAGATACAGATAGCTACATGTGTAATTTGGCTCATGTATAGTATTACATATTTCCTTAACAGTGGATGCTATTTACAACTTCAAACCTTTTTTCTTTGAATTATTTTCACAACTTTATCAATATTTGCAATCTAGCAAAAGAATTCTATACAAATCCTGAGATACAGTTTCTTAAAATGACCATTTCATAGTGAAAAAGGTTTCAGACTAAGGATATAGATGATCAATCCACACTTGAACCTTGATAATTCATACTTATGGTATGTCACATCTATCCCTTCATAAAACAAGATCCAGTAGCCTCAAGTTCCCAGCCATCAAATACATTACAACTGCACAATGATAATGATTATCAAACTCATCCAAGATCGTGTTGGATTATATCCATATGTCAAGTATCATTGAAATCTGTTTCTGTTTGTTTGATTTATTGTGTTCATGACATGAGACACAAACACACTGAGAGACAAAAGTGGTTAGAACTTCACACAATAAGGACAAAATCCTGCACAGAATTTGACTGTACACAAAGTCATTATATGAAAGAACCATAGAAAAATGTTCCCAACAGAAGGAGGGAGATAATAAGGAACCTGTCAAGTTTAAAGCCAGTAAATACATTTTATGAGAGATTTTGTCTAGTTTCTATTAGCGCACTAATATTTGCACACTGTGTACAGTACTGTATAAATGAGGGATTGATCCTGAAATTCTGGTTCATAGCAGAACACAATTCTGGTAACTCCAGTTACAGTCCACAGTCTCAGGGTTGAAAACTGAAAACCTTAAGTATGTTTCCTTGATGTGCAGGGTATTTCCTTATTGACCATAACCACACGTCCCAGAAGACATTTTGTGCAGAATGAGTTACCAAAAGGTTAAGCGGTGAGTCTTGCCAATGTTCTAACAAAAATACTCTGTAATCCTCATACATTTGACTACAGTTCAGCAAGCTTTGATCACCTCACCAAATTCTGGTTGCAACAAAGTTAAGCCATAGAGCTACAGTAGTATCTTTAGAAATGCTGCCAAGAAGGCAAAGGGAGAGTAAAGTTACTATACTTTACTCAGTGTACTATAATGATCTCTGGAATTTTTTAGCATAATCTTTAGTTGGGATGAAACAAATGGCACATACTTAGGAAAAATAACAGCTATCAATCGAAGTTGCTGCTAAGAATATTTTTATATTCAACCAAAACCTGATTGAAAGAAGCTCGTATTGTTTCCATAAGAACTTTCAGACATCATTTAATTCATCAACCTCTAATACCCAGAGACAACCATGAAAATGGCAGTGACAAAAATTCCATAACAAAAGTAACACACCAGCACAATTCATGAATCTTAGTGGTGCTAGTTCTGACTTTCCACTGTGACCTTAATCCACAACCGTAACATTAAGGGAAAACTGATCCTAAAACCCTATCTACCAGTAAATCCATAACTAGGCTGTTTTAATTGATGTGCAAAACATTTTTGGATTCTAGGACAGCAGACTACCTTTAAGCCAGCAACTAGGGGGCTGGTCTTACAATTGCCAAACCATCCCAACCGAAATTTTTTCTTAAAAGGATGGATTTGAGGGAAAGGTGTCACCTAAAGACACGAGGTCTAAAGGCCAGGTCTACCTAACTGCATTTCAGAGTCAATCCAACATTCTGATAATGACTCAGGGACATTTTTGGTTTTGAATTTCACATTATGTAAGAGGCCATACAAAACCAAGTCATCAAGGCAAGGATAAGTGTAGGTTACTTCACAACATAAATTATCAAGGTCCAATGGTATCATGCATAATACTATAGTATAGTACAGTATACAGTATTATAAAAGCTGAAAGTTATCAAATGCTTTACATAATACCACATGCAATATGATCATTGCAGCTAAATCATTCCCCATGTAACTTAATCCAATTATCTAATTTGGTCACGAAGGTAATTATTGAAGAAAGTTAAACCTTCATTAGCTTTGTCTTCATCATTTATGAAATAGTAACTGCATTGATAATGATGTGAGTAAAAGAGTGGATGATGAAGCTGGTATGTACAGTACTACACTGTAAAACACGATGCTACACAAATGTAAAAATAAAACTCAACTTACATGAGAGGAATCTAACTTGGCTTTCTTAGGCTTTCGATTTCCTGCAAATAAAGACAAACATTCCAATTAATATTCCAAGAACAATTTAACAGGTTTAATACATTTTTTTATTTCTAATGTTTGCTAACTGTACTATTAAAATAAATAAATTAGTCTAAAACATTAAAAACACACAGAAAATATAAAAGGTTATGTACATATATACATCCACACACCCATTAAATTTCTGAAAGAATTTATGTACAGTGCTGAAATATGACCCATGTAATACTGTATTTACTTTTCAATGTACTGTATCCTTGAAAGTACATGACTTACAAACTACCCAATATAGAATTAAAATTTACTTTTGTGTTATATTCAAAGCTGTTTTTTGTGAAATATCTATAGTAGTAAAAGTAAAAGAAATATTAGCAAAGTACACAAACTTGCTGCAAGTGCTGGTTAGTATGATAAGGAATGTGGTGGTACAGGTGGTAGTAGTTTACTTGCTGGTTGTATGAAAGTTTGTGTAACTATATGGTACAGTACTGTAGTTGTGTGAGCTCTTCTACGTTAAGTGGTGTGGTGTAGGTAGTGGTAATTTAGAAGCTTATTTTGTTGATGTGACTGGTGATACCAAAAAAAAAAAGAACCAAAATTTAAGACAAGTAAATGCAAAATATGTGGTCTTGATGGTAGAATGACTTGTAAGCTTGAGTGATGACCTGAACAGACAGGCATACCAAAATCACGAAAATTCAAACAGTAACCTCAGTTATATGGTAGAATATATTGTAAGACATAAAATTTTAGGAAAATATTCCAGAAAAAATCATTTATACTAAAGGTGGCACACATTAACTCTCTGGAAACTGGTCTCAGACAGTTAGAAACTATTGGTGTGAAATGAAACACTGGTACCAATGGATCTACTAACCCAGCTAATAAACAGAAGGTGAGAGACCAGGACATATCATCAGTGTGAATACTATAATGCACAGCATCACAAACCACCACCACTTTTTTCTTTCTAGAAGTTCAGAATTTAAGTTTCTGCAGAGCTTTTATTATTATTTGATTCACACAAACCTCATCCTGCTAGGTTTGATACCAACAAAAGTGATGAACTTACACATTATTTCTTCCATACACTCCCTCGATTGTTAATAATTGGCGATACGGAGAAATACCATAAATTTTCTAGGTTCAATGACTCGGCTGCCTATTGTAACAGAAGGTGTGATTCCTGTTACTCTTTCAGTCGTCCCGTTTCATTTAATTTTCTTCATGTCTTTAGGCGTCACTCCTAATAATTTGTGGGTCCACATCCTCAAAAACAATATGAGAAACAATATATGTATGTTGTGTTGCCAATAGCAAGAGAAACAATTGAGACCCTGCAATTGTGTGTAAATGAGGCAGAAAGTCAGATCAGCAACCTGGGACTTGGTCACAAATTTTGGGATGCCATATGGGAGCAGGGTCTACCATTAGTATGAGCCAGGTGGCACATAAAACTCAGATTGATTACATATTTGTCAGGAAATCAGGCAGGAAGCTTTTTAGGGTTGTAAAGTGAAAGCTGGAGAAGAATGTGCTTGCAGCACAGATCGCTGTGTGTGTGTACCCTCCACATGTGCAAAGTAGTAGTAGAAGCTATCAGCGTCAATTTCATTCCCAAATTAGTGAAACACCCTCACTTAACCCCAGCAGAAAGATCACTCCTTGCACTACCACTGAGACTGGGGGGAATGGGACTGACCAATCCAGAGGAGATTGCTGCCACCGAACATCAAAACTCAGTTAACCTCACGGCAGCCCTCACGGACCACATAATAGCTCAGAACGCAACATGGGAGGTGGATACCAGTGAAGTAAACAAGATTCGAAGGTCCATTACGCCAGAACGACAGCACGGCCAAAGTGATAAGTTGCGGCAACTGTTGCTGCAAGTACCAGATAATTAAAAGAAAAAAGTAGCTATAGCGCAGGAGGTGGGCGCCTCGAACTGGTTAACTATGTTACTGATAAGGGCAAATGGTTTCAGTCTCAATAAACAAGAATTTACAGATGCCATTGCTCTAAGGTACGATAGGCCAGTAGAAGGTTTGTCCTACCAATGTGTGTGTGGCTCTTCCTATGACGTCGATCACGCCATGGTGTGCAAGAAAGGGAGCTTCATATGCAAGAGGCATGACGAAGTAAGGGATCTCACAGCAAATATGTTGAAGTAAATCTGCTGTGATGTCAGGGTAGAACCGACCCTCCTTCCATTGGAAGGTGAGATTTTCCAACACAGGACTTTAAACACATCCAACGAAGCCCATGTTGACGTCAGTGCTCGAGGATTCTGGACGTGGGGACAGCGAGCCTTCTTCGACATCAGGATTTTTTATCCCAAGGCCGCATATCACCGTAACTTAGCTCTCGATGCTGCACACAGGAGGAATGAGAACGACAAGATAAGGGGATACGGGGAGAGAATTCAGAATGTTGATCAAGGCAGTTTCACTCCTCTAGTGTTCACAACCTCTGGTGGGATGGGACCAAGTGCAAGATGCTTCTATGCCAGACTCGCGGAGGTGATATCCGAACAGAAGCAGCAGCCCAGAAGTTTTGTTACAGCCTGGATGAGATGTCGACTGTCCATCTCTCTCCTTCGGTCGGCTTTGCTCTGCCTCAGGGGAAAGAGAGCATCGGCCCCAAAGCTGACAACAGTTGCAGATATTGACTATGAGGCAACAGTCACTGAATGCCACATAGATCTGCAGCTCAACTAACTCAACACAGCCAGGATAGCTTCTTATATATTAGGATATTTAATATTAAGGTAATAAAATGGTGGCGAAGAAATGGCTATTGAGGGAGGCTGGAGGCCATTAAAAAAAAGAAAAAAGTAATAGTAGGGGTAGTAGTAGCGTGTGTGTGTGTGTGTGTGTGTGTGTGTGTGTGTGTGTGTGTGTGTGTGTGTGTGTGTGTGTGTAATAATAATAATAATAATAATAATAATAATAATAATAATAATAATAACAATAATAATAATAATAACAATAATAATAGTAATTAATGGTTTATTAAGAAAACATGGCAGCCCGAAGGCTGAAAATATACAATGAACAGAGGTGATAGGTTACATATGGTGTATGGTGGAAGTGGGTCACTTGATTGACAAAAGCTTTCAATACAAAAATATAAGAAAGAAAGAGTCAACATATAGATTAACTATAGATCTGATAATGTTTGAGCTGGACTTGTAAACATTCTTGTGACCTGCTGTTGGCGCCCACTGTCTGGATGGCCGTTGCTTCATACCTGGATGTTAATCCGCTACCTCACTACAGCTGTGTGTGTGTGTGTGTGTGTGTGTGTGATATATTGCTAAAAAGGAGCAGGGTAAGGGTGTTTGTTCTGAGATGGAGAGTGTGGAAATTGAAGGAACAGTGTATTAGGGAAGCATTTTATGCTGAGTTGAGAGGAGTGCAAATGGCCAATGACAATGTCTTTTTTGAGTGGTTATGGCATTATATGAGGGCTCAAGAACTTCTGTAAATAGTATACAGTGTAAAGAAAGTGAAGAATTGTAGGTTAAAATAAAGGTTCATAAAGGTTCTGTCTTGAACACTCATTCAGTTTATCATGATGTTAGAGGCACTACTGCAAGTTTTTAGGACTGGTCCACCCTGAGAGTTGCATGGGGAAGATTTACCAGTACTGTAGTGTTAATAGTATTGCAGAGGTAATGGAGTATTTTAAGAAATGGAAAGTCAAAGGAAATGAAGAGTGAAAGTGGTGAAAACAAAAGTAATGATTAGTGGTGTGAGTGAAGGACCTGTGGTGGAAAGTGGAAAATGGCCATGTGCTGTCTGTAAGAAGGAAGTCATTCAGTAACATGCAGAGGTGTAAATGACAGACCGTTGGATGTTGCTGTATGTGCAGGTAATCATGTTGCCTTAGCAAGGCTGGAAAAGCATGACACTGGGGATACATCCCTGGATTGTAGAGTTCTGCTCCCTGAGTGATATGGTTAATGTTGGAAGTAGTGCCAAATCCAGGTCAGTTGAGAGTCCTAAGTGTCTGGAAGAAGTTTAGGAAGTAATTGTCTTCACTTCACTTGAAAGGAAAGTTGTATGTAAGCAATGTGTTATTATAAGGAAATGAAACACAGGCAGTAAGAGGAAGACATACATAGCATACTGTATTGAAATGGGAATAGCAAGATGGATGTGTAATGTAATGTTGAGAGATAAAAAACTCTGTTCTGAGCTAAGAGGATAGCTGACAGCTGGGTAAAGATAATAATGTGTAAAATGGCAGGTAAAGGACAAAGGGAAAGCAGAAGCAAGATGAATAAATGAAAATGAAAAACAACATCAGAGTGGATGCAAATTCTGCCTATGAACTGTTACCATGGCTGAATAAATATTGAAATTGTGACGCTACTGTAATTTATTTTAATGTAGATATTGTACTGCTGTAAATTGCTTCATGTCAAACTCTTTTGATGGAAACACCTAAGACATTAACTTTTCTTTATTTTACTTGATCCATCCTTTATTTCTTGAATTCAACAACAAACTTAACTTTAAATTCTTTCTTCTATTCAATTTCCTGCTTGTAACATCCAGTATAGTAATGTACACACACATTACATCATTGGCTTACAGCTATGGAGGATGACTGACATTGTCCACACCACTATATTTCATAACTATAGCATTCTCTGGTAAACAATTAAATCATATGCTGTGCAGTATAAAGCTGTACTATCCTGGCAAAATTAACACAATATTTCTATGCAGTGGCAAAATTCATATACATAATCAAAATACAATAAATTCAAAATATCAAGCATTCAACTGAGAAACCAACAAAACTGCAGGGTTCTCTGCCTTAGCCATTCAGTACTATCGTTGGTCAAGTCTAAAATAAACTACCACACCCCTTCCTGAAACAATGAAACCACAGTTCTAAGTAAAGATACCTGAATTTCCTCATACGCTATGATACTTATATTAATTATCAATATTACACTAATTAAAAATATACTGTATATACTGTA